ATTCTAGATCATGTACCAAAGTTCGCCAGACGTCACACTGTCATGGTGGCATTTAGGTTCTTCTGCAAGGCAGCATCTCATGAGCAAGAAAGGGTCGCGCATGAAGTAAATGACCCTGGGTGGTTTATGCCTTGTTTTTCGCAAGCTCCACCCTTCTCAAACTCTTCTCCATCTCAACTGCCCTAACCTTCACCAAGGAAAATTGATCCGTGTTGCAAACTGGTCGGGTTGGGCTCAGTCTGCAGAACGAGCCTCTGCGAATCCAAGCACCACTTACTCTTTGACTTAAAGCTTGAGCTGTATTCTGAAGCGAGATATGAAGGATGCAATGAGACATCAGATTAAGAGACCCTTCGGTTTTCAGTGCTTCCCGTCGAGGACCATGATATAACCCCTGAAGAAGCCCCAAAGAGCCCTTGCATCTTAGAAGAGCATGCCAAAACCACGGGTGTTGAAACGCATAAACCAAGGTCCGAGACTCCACAGAACCTGCCAGAAGCTCAGATTCTGAAAGCAGTTCGGGGTTTGAAGGATGAAGGGTTATGACTTGAGTGAAGGCTTGCTAGCTTGCAGGGCATGGGGCTGCTGTGTGATGATTCCATTACGTAGAGTTTGACTCTCCAGGATGGGCTCTGACATGTGGAGGTCCTCTTAGAGTCATCCAAGGATCCTACTCCCCTATATAAGCCATCAGCACTAAAAGCTGAACCCTGAACCCTATACGAAGTACCGTGGAAGTAGATCTGAGCAGCGTTTTCTTCTGCATGAAAGAGCTATGATGGCCTTGAAGCTGCAAGAGTGCTCGCGTAGCCTGGGGCATGCAGGGCGTAGTCTTGTGTAGTCTCGCGTAGTCACGTGTTGGTTATCTTGTCCGCGTAGTCTGCGTAGTTTGTATGTTTCATCAGGCGTATTGCGTATAATGATGTGTAGGCCAGGTGTGCCGCGTAGTCCACGTAGTCAGTTGAATAGCAAAAGTATCCTCGCGTAGTCTCTTCCGCAGGGAAACCAACCATTCCGCGTAGTTCGCGTAGGCCCTCCATGTTAGTAGAAGAAACTTTATAA